GAGATGCAGATACTTTGAGCAACTTGCCCAGGGAAACACATTTGGTAAGCGACAGAGCTAAGACTAGAGGAACAAGTTCTTTTACCTGCCCCACCTGGTTTGCTTGTGTCCATCTACAGAAGGCTATGTTCTCCTGGGCTGTGTTCGCCTAGCATTGATCTAAAATATGGCCAAGGATGAGTACAGCTGGCTGTATTATGTGTGTAAAAATGAGTATCTGCTTTCCAAAACAAATTTATACAAGTATTTTTTGGATAGTTTATTTTTTGTTTTATTTGTATTTTTTCCCTACCAATAATGCAGCAAATGGCAATTTTATTCAGTAGAAATACAACTTTTGTCATATTGAATATGACAATCATTTCTTTCCCAGGTCATCACAGTAGCCTTCTAACTGCTGCCTTTGCCCTCAGACTCTCACCTTGTTTTTTTTTGTCTTCTGCATCCTGTCAGACAGACAGTTCTAAAATGCAGACTGGGAGATTCCAGTTCCAACTGGTTGACTAGAGACATCAGACACCCCTCCCTTCCAGAAAGAAGAATCAACATTTTGAATTGACAATCATATCTTGAATAGAATATCTAGGAAAGAACACCAGAGTCTAAAGTAGAACTCATGGGAAACTCCTGAGGCACAGAGGAGAGGGAAATAACTTTCTAAGCATGTGAGCCACTACCTTTCCTTCTTTGAGCAAGTTTGAGTTGAAGCTTTTGGTTCATGCAAGTGAAAGCATCCTAAATGATTTTATGATCCTTAGAACAAGTCTTCATGTGTTGATCAACTTGCATATATTTTGGTAAAACATGGAATGAATGGTATTTTCAATTTTTCATGTTTTCATACCCCTATGCTTTTGCCTATGTAGTTCCTTCTCTCTGGAGTGTCCTTCCCACCATGTCATCTTGGCAATTCCCTACTCATCTTTTAAGACCTAACACACAAATACCCCTTTCTCTTTTAGGATATTATTGTTTGGACAGGGCCTGATTTTAAATACCTGATGCTAGTGGATTCATTCATTGTTCCCACTAGCGTGATGGTTGTTAAAAAAATATTTATTTGCTCTTCTACTATATACCAGGCATGTGCCAGGCACACACAAAGTGCCACCCCCTTAAGGAGTTTACAAATCAGATATACAGAGAAGCGAGCCAGCAATTACCATATGGAGAGGAAAGTGTTCAGATAGGAAAGGTCTTGGGTGCAGTGGACATATAATATGGGAGCCCCAAATCAAGTCTTAGGGGGTGAGGAAAGACTTCCTGGAAGAATTGATGTCTACACAGAGATGTAAGAACAAGTAGGAGTTACACAGACAGGAAGACAGGGAAAAGATCATCCCAGGAAGAGGAAGAGTTTGTGTCAGCCTCCAGCAGCATCAGAAATCAGGGCCCTCTTGGGAGAGAGGTCAGACTGTACTGTTCCAGAAGGAGCGTGGTGAGAGATGAGGCTGGAGTCCAAGGTGACAACCAGACCAAGAGGGACCTGGCAAGGCTCACTAAGGATGGTAGATTCTGCCTTGGGGACCACTGGGAGAATGTTTGTTTGATTTGTGCTTTGGAAGGATCGAAGGCATTGAAGAGAAGTGACGGGTCTGGAGGACCCCACTGGGAGAAGGAAGACCAGTTTGGAAGTTTCGGACCTGTTCAGTCCTCATCTCCTTGTTTGTCATCTCTCCTGCAATATCTGGTTAGGAGCAGACACAGAACTTAAAGATGATGGAAAAAGCAGCAACTGTTGGTACTTTGTTTATGGCCCTACCAAGAGGGGATCATTTTGGATCTGGACGTCTGCTTAAGTGATCAGAATGACATCAGCAATATTAATAATGGACATGATGACAGCATCATGTAAACAATATTTCCAAGCTCAAATTTGTAGCAAAATTCAACAATCATTTGTGATTCTCCAGACCAACTCCAAATTTTAGATTTTTATCAACATATACAAAGGATTTATTGCAGTTGGACAATGATGATAAAAGAAAGGAATGTATTTCATTACCATTAGATTTTATTAGCAGTAAGACTCAGTGGTCAAATGACAGCAGCCTCCTCACATGGAGTAAGGGTGAGCAGAACGTCCTCCCTCACAGTTTCTTCACTACAGAAGTGGAACCTGTGGAGCAAAAACAACAAAAAGTCACCTCTTCCTGGCACACATCTGGAGTCTTGAGCATGAGGAGAGCCTCTGCTCCCACCTCAGTCTGAGCAAGGACACACCCCGTGTCTGAGATTGGACAATGGCTGAGAGAAGACCTCTTCTGTTTAAAGAGCTGCATTCTCATTTTCAATTTTGTTTTATGCTTGTGCAATAGCTGAGAGGAGCTGTCAATGACACCTCAAAGAACAGGAATGGCTGTTACCAAACACTTTGCACATGTCTACTAATGCAACTGAGGAAGAGCAGGGTCACTAGCATGAAAACTGGTAAAAAATTCCAAGGTGCTATTGTTAAGTTGGCTAACCATTCTTATTTTAATTCAATATTTGAAAATAATTGACTAGTTTTTCTCAGTAAGGCTGAATAATACTTAGGATGCTTTGGAGATAGTTTTCTTTAGTAAAATATTTTAGCATATGTAAAACAGCTGAAACACAAAACGTGCTCAGAAAATGCTTTTTTCCCTTTCGTGTTCACTTTCTCCATATGTTCTGATGACTGGCAGCATTGAAAATAGGAAATTAAAAATTAATACCAATATCAATAAAGGACCCAAGAAATGACGGCCACCCAGTCTCTATATATTACTAAAATTGAACTGAATTTGTTTTGCAGTAGTAAAGAACTTGCTGGAGTAAAACTTCCTGCATAGAACTTCTGGCATAGTACCTTCATTTAATTATCTTAAAATCAGGATAATAAAAATACCTTCCTCATAGGGTATATATTTTTATTTTAACAGCTTTATTGAGCTTTAATTTACCTAGAATAAACTGCACATATTTAAAGTGCTAACTTTTCTCACACACGCAACACACATACACCTCTGAAACCATCACAAAAATCAAGATTGTAGACGTATCTATCACCCCCAAATTTTCTTCCTGCGTCTTTGTAATTCCTTCTTCCCACCCCTCCAATCTTCTCTCCCCCAGGCAATCGCTGGTCTGCTGACACTACTGAGTAGTTTGAATTGTTTAGAGTTTTATATGAATGGAATCTAAGGTCTAGACTCTTTTGCCTAGTTTCCATATTCAGTATAATTATTTTGAGATTCATCCATGTTGTTGCATATATCACTAGTCATTCCTTGTGCTGCTGAGTAGCATTCAATTGTGTGGATACACCACAGTTTGTTTATCCATTCCCCTATTGGTGGACATTTGGGTTGTTTCCAGTTCTTGGCTATTAAAATAAAAGCTGTTATGGCCGGGCGCGGTGGCTCACGCCTGTAATCCTAGCACTCTGGGAGGCCGAGGCCAGCAGATTGTTTGAGCTCAGGAGTTCAAGACCAGTCTGAGCAAGACCCCGTCTCTACTAAAAATAGAAAGAAATTAATCAGACAACTAAAAATATATAGAAAAAATTAGCTGGGCATGGTGGCGCATGCCTGTAGTCCCAGCTACTCGGGAGGCTGAGGCAGAAGGATTGCTTGAGCCCAGGAGCCTGAGATTGCTGTGAGCTAGGCTGACGCCATGGCACTCTAGCCCGGGCAACAGAGTGAGACTCTGTCTCAAAAAAAAAAAAAAAAAAAATTTCTAAAATAAAAGCTGTTATGACTATTCAGTATATAACTTTGTAAGCACATATGCTTTCTTAACTCTTTGGTAAATGTCTAAGAGTGAATGGTTGAATCAAATCATAGGTAGGTGTATATCTGTTTTTTTTATTTTTTTATTTTTTGAGACAGGATCTTGCTCTATTGCCCAGGCTGGAGTACAATCATAACCATAGCTCACTGAAACCTTCAACTCCTGGGCTCAAGCTAATCCTCCTGCCTCAGCCTCCCAAGTAGCCAGGATTACAGGTCTGTGCCACCACAGGTGGCTAATGTTTTTGTAGAGATGGGGTCTCACTGTTGCCCAGGCCGGTCTCTAACTCCTGGCCTCAAATGATCCTCCCATCTCAGCCTCCCAAAGTGCTGGGATTATAGGTGTGAGTATGTCTGGCTTTTTAAAAAACTGCCAAACTGCTTTCCAAACTGGTTGTAACATTTTATATTCCCATCAGCAGTGTATGGGAGTTCAAGATTTTTCATATCCTCAACAGTGCTTGATATTGACAAACTTCTTAATTTTTCTTAATTTTAGCCATTTAAATAGGTTTATGATGGTATCTCATTCTGGTTTTAATTTACATTTTCCTAATGACTAACAGTATATCTTTTTCTGTTCTTTCATCTTGTGAAATTTATTTGTGTTTTTTATTTAAAGTGAGGAGCAAATGACATGGTGACAGAAGCAGCACAGTGCTTGCTTTGGAATTTGGATTAATACTCAAACATGCTTGGGCTAATATGGGATTATCATGATTATCCTTAGTTCACTTTTCTGGTAGTTCCCCATCATAAACATCCTTTGGCTCCCACACACTCCAGTCCTGGTTAGAGCTAAGGATTGACCTCCTGGACCTTTGTGTTCTGTGTCATTAAAAGAAAACCAATGACACCGAACAGCCTATTTCTGTTCCTTCATAAATTAAATGTGTTCCTGACAAATTAAGTGACAATTTAGTAGCTCAAGAAGTTTGGGGAAGATGGACACATTAAGCATGCACATAGTACAGGGCCCAGCTGCCAAATGAAACATTCTTTTCACCTTACGATCATAAAGCTGGGTTCTCACTCTAACGCTTAATTTGTATCAGACAGCACAACATTTATCTACAAATCTGTGAAAGGTGTTTTCCTGAAGTTCTACACTTTCCCCTAAAGGAACAAAAGGCCCTGGGAAGCAACTGTGACTGGGGAGTGGGTGAGCCACCATCGGAGGTTTAACTTAAAGTAGACTTTTAGTAGCAACAGAATTATAAATCTCTTTGGATTTTCGTTACTTACAGTTTTCCATCATTTGTTTCCACTGTGATCTTGGATGCTCCCACTTTGGGTAGAGTTAGGTTGATCACGTTGTTGTACCAAATAAATTTCACCTTCTGCAAGTCCCCAACGTCCACATCTGAGTCAAACTCAGCGGAATGAGTATCCTCTGGTTTGAGAGAGCCCCTTAGAAGTAAAGAAGTTAACAAAAACATACATGAGCATATTTAAACATACATATAAATAAACATACATATAATCTCATACACATGTATTTATTTCTAAAATCAGCTTACATTGCATCTCTAGCTAAGTTGATTGGTACTCCATTTGTCATTCTAATGTATTAAATAAATTCAGACATGTATGTTAACTCAGAGCTAGTCCATTTGCCATCAATGACTCATATTACTTTAAAGTCACCTTTACCATAATCAAACTTTAAACACGTTTAGTCACAATCATTCCACAATTTAATAGGTGATGACATCATTATATTATCTTTTACCATCTGTTTTGTGGGCAGAATAACTATTTACTGATTATAAATCAGATGCTAGGCATCAATGTAAACATTAATAGTTTTCTCAGGAAATAGCATGAAAAAAATCAGAAACCAAATTCTGAATAGCAATAAGATGCAAGTGTGACAAAATTTGTCTCTTTTTATTATACATAACAGTACTTGACTCCCATACAGTAATGAATAAACAAACTCTTACGTTGATAACATATGTTATACATACACAGTATTCCAACATTGAAGAAGCTTAGAGTGATATATTACTCACTTGAAAATTTCATACTGCCTAGAGTTTCCTTTATCTCCAAACAAAGAAACCAGCACGTGTCCTGTAACCTTTTTTCCAGACAGTGTGACAGTTACCCCATACCTCCAACCTGCAAGGGGAAAAAATTTGCAAAATGTCACCTTGTAGAGGAGAGACACTGAAAACAGGATAATTTGGATCCCCCTATTGCTGAATTTTGAATAATTTATATATTATATTGGTAATTTTTCTAATAAAATAGTCATAGATATTCCACATTCCTTTATCTAAATATTCAGGGGATAGACATTGGGTAGCAGGGGCTGTGCAGAATTTTTCCAAAATCAATAGATGATTTTTTTCAAGCCAAAGGACTAAGTAATACATTTTGCTTCCAATTTTCAACCTAACAGTTTATTCTTGAATGTTACAAGAACTTTATATTCAAAGGTGGTGTTAAAATAGTAGTAGGTGTTATTTTCTTCAGTTTATTTTCATAGATGACCAAATTTTAGACTAATGTAATCTTTTTGTTTATCTAAAGTTATTTTAAAAATTCTATAATTCAACTTTTTTTTTGGCCATTGGAAATATATTAATTTATGAAAACCAAAAGAATGTTCCCTTGGTACTAGCCAATAGTGAACTGCCAATTTTTGCCATTTAGAGGTAGTCTGGGCAAATTGGATAGGGGAGGAAATTTGTCTTTAGCTTTACTATACAGTTAACCCATTAACTTCTATCCCAATAGTTTTGTTTTTCTATTATCCAGAAAAGAAACCTGAAGCCTGTCCCAACCCTCACCATCCCTACATCCTCTAATTCCCACCACCCATGGAATCTACAATCCTAAATAGCTCTTGAATCTGCCAACTTCTTTCCATTCCTACAACCTCTGTCATCGCTTTCTCCTGCATAACTTTCTGCTTGTAAAAACCTCAGAATTTTGCCCAGTGAACTCTTTTGACTGACTACAAAGAAGCCGGGGCTGAGTAAGTCTTCTGAATTCAGCATCAGAATCAAATGTAAATAATTTTATTTTTATATCATTAAGAGTTCAGGCTCCAAACTGTATTCTGCCACCCTAATTAGCCATGATTACCTTGAGCCTAGCATAGAGCATTTTTCCATACTGGGGAGGAGTGTTTAAAGCTTTTATATAGAAAAGCAATTTCATACATTTTCAGTGGACCTGATAAAATACATAGCATTCAGAATATAAGGTAAAGAAAATAGAAACTTACGGGCAAAATTACTGGCTTCACCAGTGTTTAGATAAAATACCTGGCCCAGTTCGTTTGCTTTTCCAGGAAATGTATCAGCATAATGGCCCATCTGTGGGCAGCCTTCACTTGGACAGGGGAAGCACTTGTTCTAGTGAAAACAAACAAATGGTGAATGAGGATGCCTGTCTTTTAAGAGTGTACCATTTTTTTCTCCTACATGTTGCAATTCAAATATTCTAAAGCCAATTCTGTTCTGATAGTAAAAGGGATATGCAAAATAGGATTTATTAGGAGGAAAATAGGCTCAAATGTCAGGCTTTTTCCAATAATTCGTTTAGCTCACATTTAGCATATTAAGACCTGAGGGATTCAGATCCCAGAATTCTCTCAGTATGGAGAGAAAATGCCCCAGTTGACCTGTGGTTTAACCTTGAGGCTGATATCTGGAGGAGACAGAAATAGCATAGGAAAATGTCTTCTTTTTCTGGACCAAGGAATTGTGGGAAGAAGAGATGGAGAGGAAGGAGCAGATTCCCACAAGCGTCCCAATTCCCACTGTGAGGGGCGAGGCTACTCCACAGTCCAGGCAAGTGGTGCACTCCTGGGTCAATGGACCCAATGATGGGCTCAGCACAGTCTCAGTGGTTGTGTTGAACAAAAGCCAGGGGGAGCCAGGCAGGAAGAAATGGCCAAAGTTCTCTGAGGGCATTGCTGGAGCCAGAAGAGTAGCTGAGCCCCAGACCTCGTCTCTAAATGCTAGCAGTGTGCCCATCAATAAGGCAGAAGGGATACTGCCCAGAGTCCAAAGCTTCCATCAGACCCTGGGTGAATGGACCCCCAAGTTGTTCCCTCTTCTGAACACACACGGACCATCATCAGCAAGATCACCTGGCCCTAGGACTGACTTGGAGAGAAGACAGAAGTTCCAAAGGGGGAGAAATCTTTAAGACTGAGACTTTTTTTTTCATTTTTCTCTTCTTGTAGAGCTGGGATGTCACTATGTTGCCCAGGCTGGTCTCAAGCTCCCAGCCTCAAGCAATCCTACTTCCTTGGCCTCCCAAAGTGCTGGGATTACAGGCATGAGTTACCGTGCCTGGCCCTATTTTCTTATAAAAGTGCTGAGTATCACTTAAGAGAACTGTATATTATTGAATCAGTCTAAGTTTTAACTGGATGAGACCTAAAGGTTTTTAGTTTGTTTCTTTTTTTTTTTCCTCATTACCTAGTGTTGGGTATCAGGGAAGAAGATAAAAATGAAGTTAAAACAAAGAAAGAGCAGGAGGCTCCTGTTTTAACTTATATGCAAGCAATAGTATGAATAAAATTTGTACCCCCTCTCCCATAATAGTTAACATTTGTTGAATGCTAATTATTATATTTTTGGCTCTGGGCTAAGCAATTAACATATCTGTTTTCATTAAGTCCTCCCACCAAATATGTTGAGTCTACCACTTTTATTTATATATGTAGATGATGAAATTTCCTTAGAGAAGTGTTTTGCCTAAAATCATTCAGCTATTTAGTGGTGAAACCAGAATTCAAGTACTCCCTTTTACTCACTAAAGTGTTTCTCCTTGGTAGTTATGATTTTACCTGGCACATTTGTCACTGAAAATTTTCTTCATTAAATGGCATTGTTTTCAAATTTTGATCTGAATAATTTATGGTGAAAAGAAAAGCCAATTTTATAAAAAACAATAGACAATAGATATGTCATATTTGGAATCGCATGTGAGAACCCAACTGAAATATCAAGAGGATACCAAATAAGATGAAAACTCAAAAAAATCTTGGCAATTATGAGATTGTACAAAAATGTCCACATGTCCATACTTATATAGTTTAAAATTCAGCACTTAAGAAATTTTTTCCATATTCATCAGCATTCTATAGACATAGCTCAGATTTCCATAGACTGGTTATTTTTTGTTTGTTTATTTAGAATTATTTCTAAAACAAGTTTGAACACTCACCTGATGTGTACAGAAATGATAGAGGCAAAAGTAGACATGGGACATTTCCATTTACAAGCCCATTTCTCTGAAGTCCTCAAATTTATCCCTATTATTAATAAAACACATATCTACGATTAAAGATATATGTAAGTAGGAAAGTATAAACCATTCATTGAATGATGTCATGCACAGGAAATCACACCAGTCATGAGAAGTGACAGTCAAAATTTTTTAAGTGGATGGTGGAGTTTACTTACTTCAGTGAAAGCACTGTAAGAGGAACAAGGGAATCCAGCAAAGCCATTAGGGTTGCTGATGCTGTCAGTATAATACTTGTAGCTTCTTAAGTGATTACAGGCCACAAAGTCACGAGTTCCTTTGAAGTCAGACATGATTATACATCAATAACAGATTTTATTTTTCCAAGTTAATGTCATAATCAGAATATAGTTGAATGGATTTTTCTAATTAGTGTGAACTCACACATGTCACAGAGTAAGTTACGAAGTATATTTATGATTTGCGATACAATCAGAAGGACTCTTTAAGACTAGAATAGGTAGCATTATAGCTAAACGAAATGAAAAATAACTTTAGAAGGAAAAGAGTGGTTTACATAGATATCAGTGTAACTTAGGAAGGTATTCCCTGAATTGGATTCTTGGAAAGTTGCCTGCAAATACGCTTTCTTTCCCACAGTCTCCTCATGGCCACTTTTCCCAATGAAAACCTACATCTCAGGGATACAATTAAAAGTCCTTTGTTATATAAAATCTGCGAACCATACAATTCCAAAGTATTTTGTAAGTTTAGTAAAACCTGACACAAACTTTGTCCCAAGAAAATATCTTTGTACTCGTAATAATTTTACCTTCCCAGATCCCGTCTATGTCAACAATCTGAGAGAGAATGTTCTTATCACACCCGGGCATTTCTAGTCCTCCATTTGGAAAGAAATCTAGGTGGCCCACAATTTGGCTCGTTCCAAAACCTGAAGAATTTTTAAAATAAAGGAAGGCTTATGTTAATGTTTAAACTCAAGACACTATAAAACCCTCTAGGGGGACAGTTGAGGAACTCACCCAGATTGGGGATTAGGGGAGCAGCATCCGTGTGAATTACATCCACAAACTGGGCATCGCTGGGATCCAGTCGGACTATCTCAGGTGTACCCTCAAAGTAAGGTTCGGCTGGATCCAACCCTAAAGTAAATAGGATGTGTCATTAATTATCTGTCAGTGTTCATGCACAATTACCTTTCTTCATTACAGTTACAGTCCTGAGTGCAAGTATTGGCTGTAATCATGCATTATGCCTGGACACAGAGACTGGCCTCCATCTCCTGGATTCAAATGATCCTTCTGCCTCAGCCTACTGAGTAGCTGGGACTACATACACACCACCATGCCTGGCAGCTTTCACTGTTTTGACCAACCTGTGATGCGTCCAATGGCCCCAT